AAGATCACCTGTACATTACATTCTTTTAGCTTTGCTCCTAGAGCTCGAAAATCATTTGTGATCTTTTGAAACATATAACTTGCAGTATCATTGGTTCCTACATGAATCAACATGAGGGGAGGACGGTGATAGGGCTTGAGGAGCCTGGTGAGCCTCTGAGCGATATGGTGTATTTTTGCCCCCGGTAGGCAGCATATTTCTCGAGCCATCCCATCTGGTCTGGAAATGACAGCTTCCGTTCCTCTAAGGAGGGAGTCGCCTACTACCAAGACCTGTTTACTTTCGGGAATGACAGTGCCCCTTTTGTGCAATGTAGTGTGTAGGTCTCCAGAAAAGTGATCCTGTTGGTGTGAATTGTGTAGGTGAAAAGTGTTGTCCTCCTCCTCGACATCCCCGGTGCATTCGTCAAGGACAATCCATTGAGATTCGTCCAAGAGCCTATGGTTCTCCTGTATGTGTTCCTGTTGCACCTGGTCTATGGTTGGGGATGGTACACCTGCACGATTGTGCAAGTGTGAATGTTGTGAAGTGTTGTCCCAGTCAAGGCCATCCCCTGCACACTGATCAAGGATGAGCCACTGATCAGTATCTAAGCCATTCTGGTCTTCCCCAATATGTTGTGTTTCTTGGTCAGGTGATAGTTGTGTGAGAATTTGGAATCTATTGTGTAACTGCAGCTGAGCGGAAGTATTCTGAGGAGGCTTCCGGGTCCTATGTGTCCTTCTAAGGGTGACATTTCTCCAAGCCTGAGGGTTGTCCACATCTGAGGTGCTGTTCTCTTGAGCCTCCCCGTAATGTTGGTGTGATATGGGCTGCGTGTCTAGGACAGTGTGGTGTGTGGTGTCTAAGAACAGCTCAAGTTCCTGAATGTCCTTAAGGGTCATAATACGGTCCTCGAGTTGTCGGATCCTGTGTTCCATGCGAGTGATCTGTTTACACTTGGGGCAGATGTAATTGAGTAATTGTAGTGTGAAAAAGCTGAAAATGCCACAGCTTGTGCATGAGACGGGAAGTTTTCGTGTTTGTTCCATCTGGAAGTTGCTAATTACCTCCTCTTGGTGTGTGTTTTATGTTGTTGTCTGTATGCAGGGGTGAAAGTATAGGTTACT